TAAGATAAATGTGTAGTCTTCGCTTGAATGCGGATACATTATTTAACGACCGAATTTCAATTGGCAAGTTATTCCAGAAAAATCTATACCTGGATGCAAAGAATAGAGAACGTTTAGATGTGGAGGATATAGGAGGAATTCTCGAGAAATACTGAGAATAATTTGATCAGTAAATTTGGAAAATCGCTGACTGTTTAATAAGTAAGTTTGGAATGTTATCAGTTCCAACCGAATGTGAATTATTAAGACGAGCCCTTTCTTTTTGAATACGTGTAGGGGAAAAAGTGGGGTTAGTTTCAATGGTTAAGTACATGGCAAAAATGAATTTAACAATGCTGCTTTGCTCAAATCCCCCGTAACAAAGGTATGCTACTAGAAAGTTACGGCGAAATGACTTTCGGAACCTTAGCCGACGACCCAAGGTGGAAGACTCGAGCAACGGATCTGGAAGAATTAGCAGAACTTAGTGCTAGAGACTCCCTACGCCTACCTCGTGCAAGCCTATTTTTAACACTTATTCAAATACTTGTGCTAGCCCTAAGTGAACTGACAAAGAGTTATTAGACGGATCCTTAAGTTGCTTTCGTAATTTTTGAAGTCTATTTTGAAGTCTATCTGGATTTAAGAATTTTAAGCGGAATAAAAGCCTAAATCTTTCTTCTAAGGCTTTGCAACCGCTCATGTGAAAAGATTGGATCGTTAGTTGAAAATATGCTATGCCAATCTAGACTGCTGACGAAATTATTAATTCATGGGTCGCGTTAGCAAAGTCGAGGTTATTGCATTAATCTCAGGCTTTGTAGAAAGGGTGACTACAAATCATTGAATTAGTGCATGATCATTTCTAAAGGGAGCAGGATAGAAATTAATTAGGAAAGTGTGGACGTCATTTGTAAAAATTAAATCTAATATACTGTTTTTTCTAGTCACTGAACTGACCAGTTGTGACATTTAAAAAAAGTTAATAGCATCTACCACTTTCCGGATTTTTGGCGGAGGGGCACGTGCATGCCAGTCAATGTCTGGCAGATAAAAAAGCACCCACGATTATTTTAACATCAAACTGAGTCTCCAAAGCTTCTTCAAACAGCTCATAGAGCCCACTTTCATTGCCAGAATAACACGGAGGATTATAGAAACAGCCGATAACTGCTTTTTATTGTGCAAGAGGATGACTGAATCAAAACAAATATTTTCAGAAAACGAAGAAATGCTCAAATCAAAGGGAAAATGTACAAAAGACGACTTAACATAAAGAAGGCAACCGCCGCCACGTTTTTTAGCGCTCTGTTGTCGGTACAAAGTAAAATTATTCATAGCGAGATTCGAGTCAGAAATAAGAGAGTGAGCCCAAGATTCATTGATACACAGCACATCTGGATCAAGCTCAAACACTATTGTTCTATGATCTTGTAACGGCCGAACGATGAGGAGGCGGGAATTTAGTCACGCAGTTCTCGCATAGGTTGGCTATTTGGGTTGGAGGTAGTGCAATCGGTCGATATAGCTCTAAGAATGAGTTAGACTGTACAGACCTCGCAGGAGAGAAAGAATCAAGGGACGATGCTTCTGACCAAAGATCTGTACGATGGGGTGTTTTCTAAAAAAAGAAGGATAGAAGCCAGAGATTCGTCTAACAAACGCGCAAATTCCATTCAATCAGATTCGTCAACCGTGAAATTCCGATTCGTCATAATAGAAGTTATGTGAATGGGTAAAATAAGGAACTCTATTTACACTCTACCAAGCTTATCTAGCGAAGACGTCAAATGGAAGAACGATACAAAAGTAATTTAGGA